CTCGTAGAAGAGTGGCGTGTGAACCGGCTCTTAATATATCACACAAACTCACAAATAAACTTCTGCTTTCTACTTCCAATCATTTTATAATACTTAACCTAAATCTTTTACATATTTTATAATAAATATACATATACATACATACATATATGTATATATTAAATATATATTCAAAATATTTTATTTTTACACTTTCATTAATGACAAAGTATATTTTCTTATTTCTATGTTTTACAATATCTTGAAGTAAAATGTCTTTTATTTTTATGATTTATGTATAGGATTATGACCTATCTTATAACCATGTACGGTCAAAATCCTAGACTAAGAATTTTTCTAAAAAATTAAGGTCAAAGACATAAAAAAAAATAAGTAAAGAATTTTTTATCGTACGTCTCGTACGTCCAATATCTAGGATTAATCCTAAGATTATATATTATCGGTTGTCTTTTGTATAAAATTTTAAATAGAAAACTTTAAGTTTTTGTCATGCAAAAACGATATGATACGAACCACAGAGAAATTCTCAAGTGATTACCAATCTGAGACCTCATAGAGATCGATGGTGCTTAACTAAAGCGCCAAGTTGACAACAAGTGAGTCTGCATTAAACCACACCAGAGCTATAATAAAGACAATATAATAACAATAATAATTAAAAATAGTTAATAAACAAATACAAATAAAGCATTTTTTTGGATAAACTAAAATAAAACTTATGGGCCAGTAAAAGAATTATATCGCATTCCTACATTCCTATTTTGGTGGTCTGTTGTGGAGTTTGGCTACGTGAAAACGTAATTTACCATATGTGGCTACTAGTTGCACATTAGTAATTGCAACACTGTTAAGTAACAAGTCACTTATGCGCATGCATGCGTGCGAGTGTGTGTGTGTGTGTGTGTGTGTGTGTGTGTGTGTGTATATTAGTGTGTGTAAACTGGTTATTTACTTAAAACATGTCAAGATTTTTTGAGTTCAATGGTCGTGAACACACGTACATACCATAGAAAATGCTTGGTCGATAGCAAATTAATGATGAATATATTATAGGAGGGTAATTAATGCACAACGGGTAGATTGGATTTTTATTATGTGTCGCGGGACGGACAGATTCAGAAATTACGGCTACTGGATTGCAATAAACTAGTTAACTAGAAGATAATATACAAAACGTGTGAATGAATGTGTTTTCTATTACTAAAGGAATACCAAATTACCGTATTGGCAATCACGATTTAAAGTGGATTTTAAAATAAATCCATACCATATTTTGTATAAAAAAGTTGTTGCAAATGTAATATATGTTTTATACGATGATATAATATTATTATAATTTAACATGGTCAGGTAAATATATATATATGACTAATCGGAAAATATGTGCGAGACTAATCCAAGAGACCCTCTTTTAAAAAATATTTTATTTTTAGTTTTTTTGTCTACTTCTTTATTATATACAATAAACTTAATTTTTACGTTTTTTCCAATCGCTCTTTACAAATATGTAATTCTAGTTACCGGAAGATCCTTCTTTTTAAAAGATATTGGAAAAAAATTCTCAAAATGGGTTCTTGACGTCTTAACATCAGAAATTAGTATAGTGCTTATTATAAAAATCGTATAGTTATTATTTGTATTATATATATATATATTACATTATATTATATTATATTATATAATATGTATTATTTTAGCTCTTTTAATACAATTACAGTTAAGAATAACAGGTAATTATTATATGAAATACACAAAAAAAAAAAACAAAATATCAAGAATTAATAATTTACATAAAAATAAAGAAATATAAAGTAAAAAATTAGTAGAAAAAAGAGTATTACATACAAAAAAAAGCCACGATAAACAAATTAAAAATATACAAAATGCTGGCTGATTTATGTGATAATGGTTAAATAATAAAAATGGGGTCCATATTGGAAATCATACGTCGTATAGGCACATAAATTAAACAGGTGATTTGTGGCACACATAGGGGCATGGAAGGTCGTAATGCAAAAAGAGGTGGGTTGTGTAACTAAAATATATAAAGAAGAGTAAGGACAGGGAATCTAATCTACCAGCTAACAATCATTTAAAAAAGTTAGCACCCATTGCGCCTGCGCTCCGCAAATGAAGCTAAACCAACTTGATTGGCAACTGGAATGTAGTTATGAGGAGCACAATTGACGCCCAGAAAGTAACTGGTAAATCTCAAGAACCTAAGCTATACCCTTTCAATCTGGCTAGCATTGTCGGCGGTACGAGGATCCCATACTTTAAATCATTTTAATTGTTATTATTATTATATAAAAATATTATATTATTTCTTGAGTTCTAATTTATTTGAGTAATTATATATAAATATACATGTTCGTTCAAGGTTGTGAGTGCCGTAGGAAATACTAGTTGAAAACCAAAAAACATATTCGGATTTTTGAACAACATGAATACACCTGACACACCAAAAGTAATAAAGATATCCTACATGAAAAGAAAAAAATATGGTGGTCCAGGCTTTAATGTAAGATGTAGTAGGACACTAATTATGCATTAGGAAATATAAAATGTGCAGTTGACTTAGCTAATATGTGTATTTGAGAAATACAACAAAAATTATTTATTTCAACATGCCACCTTTATCATTATTGGACCCAAGATATGCGGTTTTATCGTGGACTAATGAAACATGTCGCCGAGTAAAAGAGACTACTAAGGTACGTGAACAAAGTTGGTTCAAAGGAGTGTTCGCAGAAGCATCTCAAACTCAAGGTCTAAAAAGTGATTTACAAGATATTGAAAATAATAATGCGAAAACGCATTCCAAAAATAGATAATTTTAAAAAATAATTTTCATTCATAAATATTATTATTATTATGTTTTTTTTTATTCAACCCTTTGGTTAGTTTGCAACTATTCTTCTCCATTCTTCACGGTCACTCACTACTTCTTTAAATGCCCTATAGCTTCCAATTCCTGCACCCTTTTTGATTTTTCAGATAAAAATATTGCGGGTCGCCCAGGTGGTCGTTTTCCCTCAATCATGCCCTTTAGTATAGTACTGTGCAGTTCTTCAGGATGTCTTAATGTATTTTCTACCAACTTCTCTTCTTAATCGAATTCATTAATCAACGTTCCTTGTCGACTATTTCCAGTACATCATGGTTACTTTTTCTTTCCATCAGCTTATTTTTTTGCATACGTCTCTAGGACCACATCTCAAATGATTCAAATGCTTTTATTTCTGTTATTAATATTATTATGTTTAATAACTAATTATTTACTGAATAATTCATAGTAAAATTAGTTTGACAATTTTTCCCGTAAAGTTTTTTTTATAGTTTAAATAGTTTATTTAGTATGATCCCCCCACTTATTTCTGTAACAGTCTAACATATATTTTATTTGTGCAGTTGGAAAAAATACTTACAATAAAGCCTGTGGTGGTCAACAATTTCTTTACAATATTATATCACAATGCACGATAAGAATATAATACATTAGATAAATATATTAATATTTGAGTGAAAGGTTTCACAAATTGATAGTTACATTTTTTTTTTTTAGGTAAATTCTTTAGGTAATTTTGGATCAGGCATCAATATACAATAAATAAAGATAACAACCATCAAAAATATGTCATAGCTTTGAATTAATCATTAACTAAAACGACTTACAAATCTGGTCCCAAGTATTCTTAAAAATGATCAAACCGTGTCAACAAATAAATATAATATACTGATATACATTTATCCATAGAATTTGAAAAATATAAGGTATCGCCTGTATAAAATAAATAACAATAGCTCATATATTTCTCAAACTCCTCCTTTTACTCGAAGCGATTTTCTATTCTCTTTAATTTATTGGAAATATATAAATAATTCTAAAGACCACCCAAACTATAAATCACATATAATCAAGATAAAATCTGCCTACGTAAGTACACCAAATTAATAATCGAAGTAACATAATAAATTCATACAATAACATAAATTAGAAGAAAACAAAGGTTTAACATAATGTAAAACACCCAAAGGGAATGTGTTTACAATGTAATAGTAACATGTTTGTTCTTATTTTTTTAGTTTTTTTGTTATAATATAAAGTGTTACTCGTGCATAGATTCAAAAGATAGAACGAACATCCTACGCAGCAACTAAAAAAGCGATTGGTATCACGCAGCAAGTAAAACTCTATAGTTAGAAAAATGTTTGTTCTCATGTTTTCACAAAACGAAAGGTTGTTAGAGCGTATATTATATCTTTGTAAAAATACATATATAACTTAAATATATCATATGTTGATGCGTTATTACGGTACTACACTATCTATATCCTATGCAGGATGAGCTTACCAAATTTCGATCATGTCAATGGCAATGGTGTCATAAGATTTCATCAATGTGTATTTGGTTTTTGCTTACGAAAACGAAATGAACTACTTTATGGTGTTAACTGTTAGCATTTTGTAATCAATATACTAAAATATAAATATCAATGATTATATTGTTAATGTCAATGCAACCGGAATAAATTAAAAATTAATAATTATTAATTATAAAAAGAAAATTAAAGTTAATACATTAAAAAAATTAATCATTCTGTATTCACTATACATATAATACAACGAGTAGTTTTTTTTTTTTAAGTCTAATACAAAAGTTTAGTATGCCACATCCATGGTCAAGTTTGCATCTACAGAATGGTGTTGTTCCCGATACATCCAACAACGGTGAAACAGACCTGGATTATGGAATAAGAAATAAGAAATAGGTACAAAGACATTGCAATGAGATGGAGTGACGTTTGGCGATAAATCGATCAAAAGACACGACATTCACGGTTACTTCACCAGGTCTCATCTGCATTCAATTTTACTACCGAGTCTCGGGCATCCGGTTTTTACGCCCATTTCGTATAGTAGTAGTAGTAAATAATTGTAGAAGTGATCGTAATATTGATTGTAATTTTGAATACATAAATATATTTTAAATGATTACCTGATTGGCGGCGCTAGACATCTGGGTAATCAATCACACATCCATATATTTCCAATTGTCCGTTACAATATATATTATAATAGGAATTTATTGTAGTCTAAAAAATAAGTGTAAACATTAATTAATAAACAGGATTTTAAAATTGAATTTGTAATGTACTTGTTATATAAAATGTATTGTCCTACATAAGATATAAATGTTTAAAATTGTAGGAATATTTTTACACTTTTATGCATTAAAATAAAATTGTAATCATGAAATTATTTTAACATGTTAACATTTAAATGGTTTAGAGTAAAAAAAATAAAATACTCCAACTTTTTAAGCATATGAATTCTAAATCTTTAAAGTTACGTACTTTTATATTTTTTGAAATACATAAATATATTCACACAAAAATGATTATATACTTTTTTACGGTATTAAATGTTTCTAATCAACCGTCATTCAGATTATAACAGCCCATTATCTATATTAACAGTACTAAATAAACGCCGCATTATTATAACACGGTCAGCAGACAAGCCTGGACATTTGCATATCTTATGGTTCAACGTATACATTATAGTATTAATTTATTACAACCTGTACTTGACTAATAATTAGACCTTTACGATTCGAGATATTTATCTGTACATTTTTTCCACTATTTCTTTCGCAGACTCACACACACAGCGCTTTGAACCTGCATCCAGGGTCCACATAAGACGAGTATAATAAATCATAATTATAACTCTTACGCCATATCATTATTCAATTATACAAACTGTGGATAGTTGACAAGTAAAATGTTTGTAACTATCACAAATGGAAAATTATTTTTTTGGTGTTCATAGGTACCAATACACGTAAAATATATTTTATATTTTAAAATCAATTTTTTATTTTTATTATACAAGATTAAAAATGTTAAAAAACTTCGAAATTCTTCTAAATAAGAAGAATGAATGTGTAAGATATAATAGTGGGGGAATAGAGATCGGGCGAAAATGTTGTTTGGGTGCAGTGGCATTCCATAGGTAAAACTGACAGGCTGCCCACGGGTGTGTGTGTGTGTGTGCGTACAAGTGGTGTGTGCGCGCACGCGTAGTGTGCGAGTGCGTGCGCTTGTGAATGTTGGAATGATGGATTATTAAATGCGCGTATGCATATACATATGAGCATACAACAACAGGCCTTCCCGCGATCCGATCTCAACGCTAGAAGCTTCAGGCTATCAAAACATAAATACATGCTTGGGTTTTTATTTTTATTTCTACTTCTCTCACTTTGTATTAATAATAATATGGTTTTCATCTGGATTTTTTATTCGAACAAAAAACCGGTGCAAATAAATTTAGGGGACGATGACATGGTACACAGAAAAAAACACGTCTGTATGACTGTATATTTTATTTCTTACACGAATTAAGAACTAGTATTGAAAACATTAAAACCATAAGTAAAACTATGTATTGTTATTATAAATATGACAATAAAAATACATAAAAATATAAAAACAACTATATAAAAACTGTTAATGATTATTTAAAGAGAATAACAAGAGATTTAAATTTCTCTTAAATCAACGATGTTATAATATTTAGATATGTAGAAGCGTCGGATCACGGAGACAAAAAGGACAATATTGCATCTAACAAGAATTCCTGTGATTCCCATGGTCAAAAGTCAAAAGTCAGTGGCCGTTCTCTATAAATAATGTTTTTAATAACATAAAGTTATACAGTTCAATTTTTTTTTAAAAATAAACATTAAATGAAAAATAATTATTAATTATAATTATAAATCGAAGATAACAATTATTTGTAAATTATAAGACTATAATAAACATTTATTATATATAGTTACTCGGAAAATAAACCTAGGAAAAATTCTACAGATGAACAATAAATTTCTAAATTATTAAAGAACTATTAAAAAAGTGATATTTCATAAGTAAAACCACTAACTATATGAATAAATTATACAGAAAAATAAATTGCTGTCATTCATAATTATGATGTTAAAGACACTTTTATGCAGATAAAGAATCTTAAGTAAGTCTTAATATCTCAATCTCTATTATACTTTTAAGTATCCTATGGTTAAGTTAAATTGAATTATAACTTATTTATTTATTTATTGAAATATTATAAGGGTTTGAGTACAATTACATGAATATAATTAATATATAGCATTCGAAAATAGATTAAAACAATAAAATACTTAATTTAAAAAAACAAAACAAAATATAAAAATATTAAAGGTATTTCAATTTATGTACATAATTAGGTTAGCGGAAACATGAATTTTAAATGAGTAAAACGAGAGATAGTTAGAACAGAAATCGATGTTATAATTATTTACTATGTTCATGATTCGTATAAGTGGTGTGTTAGTACTCAACTCGTAGTAGTTTGAGAACTGTGAACTAAGGAAACTTTGAATCATAGACGACTTAAGAAGTTAGGACAGTCAATACAGCCATTTAATAACTTATAAATAAAATATAAATCAAGTTTCCAGGGATTCAAGATTTAAATAAATAAGCAAAGGGTTATAAGATGTATGAGGAGTTCGGGGTATATTGTACTTAAGATTCAAAAAGCTTGGGAACTAATTTTGAACTTTCTTGAGAGTAGTTATTAATCTAGTATTATTGGTGATCATATAATGGGATCATATTCTAAAATTGAACCCACTAAAGAACAATAAATTAAAATGGAAGTATTTTTATCATTGAAGTCAACACAGTTCTTGCATATGTATCTAAGACGTTTTAGGGCTTTATTTTTCACGTAAAGAATATGACGATATTAATTTAGATTCAAAATAAACTCTATAAAATAATCCATTATATTTTATTATTTATTGAAATCTGGTAATTTTTTAAAAATAATAATTTATATATATTTTTTTTTTATATAAATCATCTATTTATGTTTACTTAATTTTAAATTCTATAATATTTTATTTGTTTGCCATTAAACATTAGACAAAAATATAAATATTTACTTAATACTAATTTTTTTTATATTATATTTTTTTCTTTATAAAAATTTAATAAAAATTAAAATAAATGTCACCTGTGTATATATTACCTTTGATAAAAAAGTAAATTTTAAAATGTATCTATATTCTATATAATTAAACTACTAAAAGTCTTGAAATTTTTTTTGAAGATTTTGCTCTGTTGTCTATTAATTCTTCTTTATCTATGTTTTGTGTTATATTTTTTCGATAGCCATAAACATTAATTACTCCAAATGCTGCTGATCGAAAGATGATCTTAACCTTGTTTTGATAATTTTCAATTTTAAAAAAATACTCTTTCGCAAGTAACTTGAGTGGATGGCAATAGCATTAAATAATTAAAAATTTGATATACATTATTATACAGAATGACCAGAAAGTTGAGTTTAAATTTTAAAAATGCATGTTAAATATTATTGAATTGAATATTTACAAGAATCGAAAAAGATATTATCCTGTAACGATAGATAGGATTAATATTTTTTCCATCAAAAGAAAATTTTTTCCAAATATCTTCTTTCTTTTTGAAATGCATTTGATCTCAAAATCTTCCTGAATGTATATTTTTGGTTCATTTGAAAAAAATAATTTGGTTTTTCTGTAAAATCTTTAAGTTTTTTATACAAAAAATTAATTTTGTCATTATTTCGTTTTTTTAAAATTTGATTTTTTAATGTTGTGATCATTGACTAAACTTATGCATATTTGACATAGTTTGAAGATATAGTAATAGGGGTGTAGTCACAGAAAATATATCTAAAGTGAGTGAAGCCATAAAAATAGTTTCAAAATTTGACCATTTTTCTAATAAAAATTTGTTAATTGTTAAAGTTTCCTTGTATGATTCCAATTAAAATCTACGATTGAATCCACGATCTTCGGTTAGGCATGTTGTTAGAGAAGTTGGAATATCGTTCGGTCTTGTGCATAGAATTTTAAAAAAAACACAATTTGTATCCCTACAAACCTGATTTAGTTCAAAATTTACGACCCGCAGATCCAGAAAGAAGTTTAAATTTCATTGCTTGGATACTAGTTCAAATCGATACACAACCGTTATTTTCAAATCAAATATTATAGACTGATGAATCTAAATTTACGAACAATGGAGTTATTAATAAGCAAAACAATCGTTTTTAGTTAGATGTCAATCTCCATTGGGCAGTGGATAGTCATTACCAAACTGTGTGAGGTACAAATGTTTGGTGTGGACTTATTGGTGGCAAATTATTAGGTCCGTATTTCTATGAAGAAAACTTAAATGCAAGGCAATATTTATCATTTTAAACAAATCTTTTACCATTGATGTTAGAAAATGTACCATTAGCTACACGTCAAACCCTATGTTTTCAGCACGACGGAGCTTCTGCTCATAATGCTCATATAATTTAATGATTTTATAAATGTTTAAAAATAATTTAAAAAAATTATTATTTAATAAAATGTACACGGCTCTTATTCAGTCAATATTGAACTTAGAGACATAATTGATACATAAAAATTACTTAAAAAAATAGGCCTATCCTAATATGAAGTTTAAAATAGGTGTTGCTATTTAAAGAAAAAAGTTTTTACTGGGTATACGCCCAAAAAATTTTGAAATTTATCGAAAAATGTATATTCATAAACCACCAAATTGTAAAAAAAAAAAAATCGATGGATAATCCGGTATTTTGCAAAATGCCTAGGTATTATGTAGAATGTCAAACGTGGATTAGGCAATATGATGAAAACAAACAAAATTGGGTATCGCCTATTACCAAAGACTTTACTTACCGTTTATCATAAATGTGAGTGCACGATTTAACGCAATAAAGATTCTTTTACAAATATAACAATAAATCTGAGGTACAATATTAAACGTACTAATAATTTAATTACAATATCGTAAATTTTCTCGTCATTTTCGTGTCTTGTTTTGGTGTTGCAACTATGCATACGATTTATATCAAGTTAAATTTTTATAATAAACTACAATTTTTTTTTTAAATTTAGCCACTAATACTAGTTTTTTATCAGATAAATAGTATAATGAGTTGATAAAAATTCAATCCGCAGGAATTGGCTAAGGATTTTTAAAATATC